AATTGGCCTGTACTATTTGGACCAGCGGAATTGTAAATGCCTTGGAAATATCTGCCTCGTTATTTTGACTAGCTAATCTGTCAACTAGCAGTTTCAACAACAACGGGGTTCAAGATGGCCTTCGCCGCCGCAGCTGTCGTGGCCTCGCTCGCATGGAATGCAAACACAGCAGCTTCCATGGAGTTTCCGCAACTTGTCGTGTCTCAAGAAAAGCGCTCGGCCCTTCGACCGACCTTACCTCCTCGTCCAGACTACGTTCAGGCTTCAGGACGAAGTTCCACCAGGCGACAATTCTACTTGGCGCCGTACTCCGGAGCTGGGTGGTCCACGTGCTTGGAGCAACAATGTCAAGCGGCGTATGGCGATTGCGTCAATTTCTTTGGTGGGGATGGATGTTTGTGCTATCCAGGTTTGCTGTGGTGTGCGTCTCGCAGGTGCGATGTCGACTCTGTCACCGATGTGTACAATGCGTGCACGTTGGCGCTGTTGGCTTTCAACAGCACCAGCGCGGCCCCTCGCTGCGCACTGTCTTGCTCGTCTGCCGTGTACCCGATCCGTTCTTGGAACAACTGGACATTCAACGACGTGGGCGCAGTCAACGTGCCGATGAAGTTCACCGTTACTGCGGCGTTAGAAATTGATGCGTTGGGGACACTGGACGTTGCTGGTGCGGCATTTGAGCTGGCCGACGCCGTGGCGCAAGTTGTCAACGTGCCCAACATCACGTTGGAAAACGTCACGTTGTCTTCCGTCGTGGCCACCGCAGAGAACGTTTCGCTTGTGCAAGTTGTGGTAGCTTGCCCTTCCCCAGAAGCCATGAACGCTACGATGGTCACGCTCGAGCCGATGGTTAGCGCTCCCGGCTCCACAGCACTGGGTGCCGCGCTTGTAGACTTCAACATCCTATTTAACGCGTCGCAGCTTCAAATCCAATCTGTGCAGGAAGCCGTGGTGATGCTGCTTCCACCACAACAAGTCCTTCCCACGTCCACGCCGATCCCGCACACTACGACTCGGGAGTCACAGCCTCCACCCCAGCCTATCGAGCCACGTGGTCGACTCGGTACGTATCATCATGTCGTGATTGCAATAAACCTCACAGGACGTCGTCAGCGCTACCGGTTGCGGCGATCGTTGGGATCATGTTTGGGGCCGCGGCACTCATCGTTATCGCGATTTCATTTGCATGCTGGTGGCGTCGACGAAATGGTGTACACAGTGGCTACGTCCTCCATGGCATTTAGAATTAAATTTAAAGTGACGCTTGTGTTTTGGGTGTTCTCGTACTATTGACCCAGTGTGTCGAATGAGTCCTTGGACGTCGCCCCAGATATGGTACCCGCAGCTTCCACTTCAGTCACAATCAGCAACTTGCCTATCGTCACATGTTGACTAGTCTGTTGTATCTCGATATTGCCACGGTCGGCTGCATACGTGCCAAGTGACTCACATCCATCCAATCTTGCGGGGGATCAAAACATGCTCGAACCACATTAGAGGCCATTCCTCGCCGCATCGAGGGACCAACCAGCCATCCATGGCCTCAAACAAGATTCGTCCAAGAACAAGCTCGAGTGTGCTGGATTGAAAAACCGGTAGATCTCGTCTAGCCGCAGACGACGAGACCGTCAAGAATGACGACGATATACATTGACAATTGAAAGGTAGTAGTATCAATAGTTGACTTGTTCTGCGCTCCAACGGTGACAGCGCAGCAGCTCTGGGGACGATACACTAGCAATTCCATGTGCTGCACTGAGCGAGTCACCGTGGACGAGCCAACAGTGGCGACCTTTCAGGACGGGGTCCATGCGCACCAATGCTGCATTTTTTATGCGCATATTTAGACGAAGCGCACCGAACACAGATTTTTATACGTGTTTGAGCCACGGACGCGACATCGCTGGACCAATAAACGAAGCACACAACGCAAGCCAAGACAATGGAAACAAAGGCGGTGGAAGGCGTCCTCACGGCGTCGGACTTGGCTAACGAGAACGAACTGGACGAAGACGAGCAACTTGTAGCAACGTGGATCAAAGGCATGCACGAGGCAGAGATCTGTCGATTGACGCAGGCTGGCGCCAAGGCAGTGCCCCTCAAGGTCAAGAACATGGCGATCGTTCGGGAGGACGGAGGCGTCGTGCTCAACCGCGTCGAAGTGGACACGCGGTTCTCCATGGACCGGATCGAGCAGATCCTCGTCGCAGAAGAAACCACGCCCGTGCCGCACAAGCCGCATTTTGTGTACGTGAACGTTGTGCTGCTGCCCAAGACCAAGCAGCCGTCGGACGCCACCACCATGGCCCTCGTCATGCCGTATGTGTACGACACGCGAGTTGTCGGCAACACGTTGACACAATGGGTGTTCCTGAACAACAACATGGAACGGTCGCATCATGTGATCGGATGACTCCGACCTTGAAACACAAGTTATGTCTGTATCATCGCAGCGTACTCGACGAATTCAAACACCCCGAGGCTCCGTCCTCAGCAGTCCTTCCTGTGCAAACTCTTGGCTGCTTTGGACTTTTTTCGGCCACTTCTTCGCCACTCTGAAGAGGTTGGATGGTGAGCCCAGCAGGATCGACCTGTTGTCATACTGTCAGTATTGGCGGCGGCTAGATTTTTATAC